ACAAATATCTAAAGATGGACATGCTATGCACTTTTGTAGAAATTGTTTACAAGCATTTTGTACTGAAGAATCTTTATCAAAGCATCAATTGTATTGTGATACTCATGATTCAGTACGAATTGAACTTCCAAAACCAAATACAATGATTGAGTTTAATCATTTTAAAAAATCTATGAGAGTGCCTTTTGTAGTCTATGCTGACTTTGAAAGTTTTATAAAACCAATCAACACTTGTACACCTAATCCAAATGAATCTTATACAAAGCAGTACCAAAAGCATACACCTAGTTCATTTTGCTACTATATTAAATGCTTCGATGAAAGTGTATATCAAAGTAAACTAGTTACATTCACTGCAAGTAATGAAAATGAAGATGTAGCACAAAAATTTGTTAATATGCTTGAAGAAGATGTAAAAAAGATTTATAACAAGTACTTAAAGTTTCCAAAAGATATGATATTGACTATGAAAGACAAAAATAATTTTGATAATGCAGAAAAATGCCACATTTGTGAAAAAGATCTTAATAATGATAAAGTACGAGATCATTGTCATATTACTGGAAAATATAGAGGTGCTGCACATAGTGATTGTAATTTGCAATTTAAAATTCCAAAATTTATTCCAGTACTATTTCACAATTTATCTGGTTATGACTCTCACTTGTTCATAAAGAAATTGTCAGAAGGAGGAAAATCAGAAGGAGGAAAAATAAATTGTATACCCAACAATGAAGAAAAGTATATCAGCTTTTCTAAAGAAATTAAACTTGATGAGTTTACGAATAAAAAAGGAAAAAAAGTTGAAATTAAGAGAGAGCTCCGTTTTCTCGATAGTTTTAAATTTATGGCTGCTAGTTTAGATAGTTTAACTAAAAATTTGTCAAAAGATCAATGTAAAAATTTGAGTAAATACTATTCTGGAAATGAACTCAATTTATTGTTAAGAAAAGGTGTTTATCCTTATGAATGGGTTGACTCTATTGATAAATTAAATGAAACACAATTACCACCAAAAGAATCATTTTATTCAAGATTAAATGATGAAGGAATAAGTGATGAAGATTATTTACATGCACAAAATGTATGGGAAAAGTTTCAATGTAAAACATTTAGAGATTACCATAATTTATATAACGAATCTGATGTATTACTACTAGCTGATGTCTTTGAGAATTTTAGAGATGTCTGTTTTAACAATTATAAATTAGATCCTGCTTGGTACTATACATCACCAGGATTAGCTTGGGATGCTGCGTTGAAAATAACAGAAGTAAAATTAGAATTATTAAGTGATTATGATATGATCTTAATGATAAAAGAAGGAATAAGAGGTGGAATTAGTATGGTTTCTAACAGGTTAGGAACTGCTAACAATAAATATATTGAAAATTATGATGAAAGTAAAGAATCTACTTACATACAGTATCTAGATGCAAATAATTTATATGGATGGGCAATGAGTAAACCACTTCCTACACATGGATTTCAATGGATGAATGAAGAAGAATTAAAAAATTGGAAATCTACTTCTTGCATATTAGATGTAGATTTAGAATATCCTGAACATTTACATGATGTTCATAATGATTATCCTCTAGCCCCTGAAAGATTAAAAATAGACAAAGTTGATAAATTAATACCTAATTTAAATCATAAGAAAAATTATATCATTCACTATGAAAACTTAAAACTGTATGAAAGATTAGGAATGAAAATAACAAAAATTCACAGAGGAATAAAGTTTGAAGAAAGTGCATGGTTGAGTAAATACATTGAACTCAATACAAATCTAAGAACAAAAGCAACAAATGACTTTGAAAAAGACTTTTTTAAACTTATGAACAATTCAGTATTTGGAAAGACAATGGAGAACATTGAAAACAGAGTTGATGTGAGATTAGTTTCTAAAAGAGAAGAAGCTATTAAATTATCATCAAAACCAAATTATGAAAGTAGAACGATATTTGATGATAATTTAATTGCAATACATATGAAAAGAACAAAACTAGTTTATAACAAACCCATTTACTTGGGTATGTGTATTTTAGATTTGAGCAAAACACTAATGTACGAATTTCATTATGATTACATGAAAAATAAATATGGAGATAAAGCTAAACTATTATATACAGATACAGATTCATTAATCTATGAAATAAAAACAAAAGACTTTTATGCAGATATTTCTAATGATATTGAAAGTAAATTTGATACAAGTGAATTTAATAAAGATCATCCAGCTGTTCAAAATGGATTTAAAGTTGGTGTAAATAAGAAAGTAATAGGAATGTTTAAAGATGAATCAGCAGGAAAACAAATTACGGAATTTATTGGACTCAGATCAAAGTTGTATTCTTACAAAATAGTTGAAGAAGATAAAAAGAGATGTAAAGGAGTAAAGAGAAATGTAGTAAAAAATTATATTACACATGAAGATTATAAAGACTGCCTTATAAATAAGAAAGATCAAATGAGAAAAATGAATGTCATAAGATCTCATTTACATGATGTTTATACTGAAGAAATAAACAAAATAGCATTGAGTGCAGAAGATGATAAAAGAGTAATTCAAGAAGATGGTATTCACACATTAGCATATGGACATTATAAATTAAAAGAGAGTAAAACATTGGTTCCTTCAGAACCCAACTTTTCATTTCAGATTGATTGGAAATAAACAGGCAGGCAGGCAGGCAAACAGGCAGGCAGGCAAACAGGTAAGTTATTTTTTATATCTTAAAAAGATCTAAAAAAATCTAATAAAGTAATAAAAATGGACAAACATATCAATGTTGAAGGAATTATATTGCCAAATGTACCCTTAACAAACTTTCAATTAATAAAAGCAGCAAAAAAATTAAAAATTAAAAATTTTAGAGGTGTATTTGTAAGAGATGAACTACCTAAAAATACACAAAACAAAGAATGTGGAATATTAAATACTGGAGATTCAAGTACGAATGGATTTCATTGGATTTGCTGGTATAAAGATGGAGAAGAAAAATTAAGTTTTGATTCTTATGCACTACCACCTCCAGTTGAACTTGTTCAATATTTACACAGTCCTGTTTATTATAATAGTAAAAGAATTCAGTTTGGAGACACTTCTTTTTGCGGACACTTGTGTCTTTATGTATTAAAAAAGCTTGATGAAGGTGTTGATTTTCAAAGTATTGAAAACTCATTATACTGAATTAAAAAAATATAACATATTTAAAATGAGTATGAATATAGCCGGTAGTAATTCATTGTATGGTTACACAACAGATGGATTAAATATCAACATTAATGTTGGAAATACAGCCACTACTGATGTTGATTTGAATTCACATAAATTAATCAATGTAGCTGATCCTACAGATGCACAAGATGCAGCTACAAAAAATTATGTTGATAATAATCAAACTTCTAGCAGTGCATGTCTAAAATTAGATGGAACTAATAGTATGAGTGCTAATATAAATTTGAATTCACATAAATTGATCAATGTAGTTGATCCTACTAATGCACAGGACGCTGCTACAAAAAAATATATTGATTCAACATATGAATTTATTACAAATTATATAGAAAGAATAATTCCTTATCCTCGTAAATATAAAGTTTTGATTGTAGCTGGACAATCAAATACTTATTATGGTAGAGAATGGGGCCATTCTGCTGCAATAACTACTGTAAATTATATGCATAGACGAATAGTACAATTTGCAATGGATAATGGACAAAATGATGTGTTACTTCCTTGTTCTCTTAGACTTGAAGTAAATGAATCAGATAATATGTGTTATGCTGGATATGGTTCAATATTAGCAGGTTTAATAATGCAAGATGCTGATACTTCAAACACATTAAATATAATACATTCAGATGAAAGTTTAATGATACTTCCATGTATGTTAGGTGCAAGAGGTTTTAGTGATGATTATTTTATGCCATATGGTACTGGATTTAGAAATTTAACTCGTAGAATTAGATATATTTTATCACATTATAACGCAGAATTTTGTGGTATGACTTGGGCTCAAGGAGAAAATGATTCTATAGATGGCTGGAATAATAATTATAGACATATTCTAGTAAACTTTATTCAAACCATAAGAGATTATATAGGGTATTCATCTAATCAGTTTTACACGTTAACAAATTCCCAAGCAAAATCAAATACAATTCCATTCCTTACTTTTCAAATGAGACCTGGATGGGTTTCAGCTAATTCAGCAAGAGCAACACCAGTTCAAAATGCGCTTTCAACTATTGGAGAATATATTCCATACGCTGCAAGCATATCTATTACTAATCTTCCACCTTCTATGAGAATTACAAACGATGACACCGTACATTACGACTCACGTCAACAAATATTTTTAGCTCAACAATTTTATAATGCATTAATTACAGCTAAAAATAATTTATATGCTAATAGTGTTTATTATCCACTTTACATATCAGGAGAAACGCTAATTGTTAGGCAAGTACCAACAGATTTATTTCCAACTAATTATTATGGATCACTTAATTATGATAGTGCTAATCCAACTACAGCTACAAAATATAGTCAGTTATCTAATAACTATTTTTATAAAAACAAAGATGGATATTATAAATATCGCTTAAGATATAAAATTAATGGTGAATGGAAAAGTATTATATTTAAACAAGCATTCCTTCCAATGATGTCTATGCATTATCAAAATATTGCACAACTCATATCAACTGAAACACCATTCGGTAATACAAACACAGGACAAGGATTTTGCGGATTAAATTTGGCAACTACAAAAAGCATGATGAATTTAGGAGCAGTACTTACACTAGATACAGGTGGTGGATATTGGGCACCTGTGTGTGCAAATAGCAGTTTTACAGATGGATCTGCTAATGTTTTTCCTGTATATACTAATTACATTGAAAATAGTTCAACTACTTTAGTAACTGCAACTGAACTAGAATTATATGCTATAAGAGACCCTATATAATATTGTTAAGACAATTCTACTATGTGTAAGCAAATACTAGCGCATGCGCATTAAAAAAAATAAAAAAAATTGAAAATGAGTTAAATAATTTTCTTGTATATATAAAAAAGAATGAATCAAGAAAATAATATTGAGAATAATTTTTTAATAAAACCTTCAACTCAAATATATTATATTACTGCAATATTAAAAAAATATAGGTATAAAAAAGGTAATAAGGTTGATTTTGCTGCAAGTATAGGCAGAAATGATCTTATTAAATTATTAAATCAATTAGGTGAAAAGAGTACAGAAGATGTACAAAAATATTTACATTTGTTAGGTTATAAAGGTATAGAAGATGCAATAGATAATGCTGTAAAAGAAGGTCAACTTGAAATATTAAAATATTTACATGAATTAGGGTATAGAGGACCTGAAGATTTAATTGATATTGCTGTGAAAGAAGGTCAACTTGAAATATTAAAATATTTACATGAATTAGGGTATAGAGGACTTGAAGATTTAATTGATATTGCTGCTAAAGAAGGTCAACTTGAAATATTAAAATATTTACATTCGTTAGGTTATAAAGGAGATGAATGGACAATTCATTGTGCTGCAAAAAATGGACATCTTGAAGTACTTAAATATTTACATTCAATAGGATATAAAGGTACAGAATATAATGTATATTCTGCTGTTGAAAGTGGAAATCTTGAAGTAGTAAAATATTTACATGAATTAGGGTATAAAGGAAATGAATATGCATTTAATTGTGCAGTAGGAAATGATCACCTTGAAATAATTAAATATTTACATGAATTAGGGTATAAAGGTTCTAAATGGGCAATTAATTGTGCTGTAATGAATGGATATATTTAAATTTTGATACATGTAGTGACTATAAATTCTAGTAGTGATAAAGTTAAGCAATGCTACTACTAGGCATAAGCGCTACTATGCTTAAGTAAATCCTAGCGCATGCGCATTAAAAAATAAAAAAAATTTTGAAAATGAGTTAAATAATTTTTCTTTTATATATAAAAAGAATGGAAAATAAAATTGAAGAATTATTAAAATCAATAAATGAAAGATTAAGATTAGTTGAAGAAAAATTAAATATAATTGATATTCATGATATTGAAATGACTGAAGATGAATATAATGAAAATGAAATGATTAATAAAGATGATAAAATGAATGATGATGAATATGATGAATATGATGAAGATAAAAATGGTATGATTGATGATGATCTAAATGATTATCTAAAAAAATATGGGTATAAACAAGGTAATAAAGTTTATTTTGCTGTAAAAATAAGAAAAATTGACTTGATTAAATATTTAATCCAATCAAAAAAACAAAGTGTAGATAATGCTTTTGAAATAGCTGCTAAAAATAACAACATTTTAATGTTGAAGTTTTTAAATGAATTAGGGTATAGAGCTTCAGAAGATATATTTGATAATGCTTTTAAAAAAGCTGTTAAAAATAACAACCTTGAATTGCTAAATTATTTTCATGAATTATTGTATAGAGCTTCAAATTATGAATTTGAACAAGCTTTTGAAAAAGCTGTTAAAAATAACAACCTTGAAATGTTAAAATACTTGCATGAATTAGGGTATAAAGCTTCAGAATTTGAATTTGGTCAAGCTTTTGAAAAAGCTGCTAAAAATGACGATCTTGAATTAATTAAATACTTTCATGAATTAGGGTACAGAGCTTCAAAAACTATATTTTATGGAGCTTTTAAAAAAGCTGTTAAAAATAACAACCTTGAATTAATTAAATACTTTCATGAATTTGGGTACAGAGATTCAGAATATGAATTTAATTCTGCTGTTGAAAGTGGAAATCTTGAAATAATAAAATATTTACATGAATTAGGGTACAGAGATTCAGAATATGAATTTAATTCTGCTGTTGAAAGTGGAAATCTTGAAATAATGCAAAAAGCTTCAGAATACGCAATTGATAAAGCTTTTGAAAAAGCTGTTAAAAATGACAACCTTGAATTAATTAAATATTTACATGAATTAGGGTATAAAGCTTCAGAATTTGAATTTGGTCAAGCTTTTAAAAAAGCTGTTGAAAATGGCAACCTTGAATTAATTAAATACTTGCATGAATTTGGGTACAGAGCTTCAGAATTTGAATTTGGCCAAGCTTTTAAAAAAGCTGTTGAAAATGACAACCTTGAATTAATTAAATACTTGCATGAATTAGGGTACAGAGCTTCAGAATTTGAATTTGGCCAAGCTTTTAAAAAAGCTGTTGAAAATAACAACCTTGAATTTCTAAAATACTTGCATAGATTAGGGTATAAAGCTTCAAAAACTATATTTTATGGAGCTTTTAAAAAAGCTTGTAAAAATAACAACCTTGAATTAATTAAATACTTGCATAAAATAGGGTGTAAATAAGAAGCAGGAAAAAATCACGTGACGTCATTTTAAGAATTTTTCGTAATATTTCATAACAAGAAATAAAATTTAACACTTATTTTAAAAAAATCAATTTTTTAAAATAAAAAAATTATTTCTTATCTAAATAAATTATACACAACATGGTTCAATGTTAACCCCAATATTAATATTAATTTATGGTTGAAAATTTGGTTGAAAATAAAAAATAAGCCAGAATTGGTAATCTCTTACTACTCACTTGATTGCTGACAGCTTTCCAATAGTATAGCTTCATCAGTGAGCAAAGCTGCATAAAAGGCTTCATTGTTAAAAATAAGCTCATTTATTGGGTATAAACCATAGCATCTAAATCCATTGATTGCTTTGTCAATGTTTGCAGTAAATTTATAGGCAGTTGCGAAAATTCCTGCCATGTCAAAAAATGAAATTCTACGCCGCTGATGCGATAACATCCAGTTGCTTGCTGCAGTATTGTAACCAATTTTCAATGGTTTGAAAAATGTACGATCTAAAGGTTGCATTTTGTGTATACAATGAGGTGAAAGAGTTATAAGATGAATCCCATTGTCGCGACAAAAGTTAATGGCTTCAAGTGTTTTGTGACTATGATGACCATCGAGTACAATTAATTGCTCATTATTTTTAGATGTATGAGCCACAGTAACAAAATGTATTAACCATTCGATGAATAAAGATGAATCTCTCCATCCACTGGAGCTAACTCTAACAATTGACCCTGAAGGTGCACCAAAAGCCAGCCTATCAGTCATTCACTTACGGGGGAATATAAATAATGGTGGGACATAAATACCACTTGCACTCATTGCACACACGACTGTCACAGTAGCACCTCTTTCTCCACTAGTTTTTTTTAAACTTGTCGTTTTCCCTTTGTTGCAATTATCTTTCCTGGCTTATGGACATTTGTTATTCCAGTTTCATCCATATTCCAGAGCTATTTGGCTAAAACCTTATGTTCCTCAAATAGAGACTTGTATACTGAAAAAAACTGATTTAACTTTGGTTTATTAAAGCCAACAGCTCTGCTTACACTAGTGGCTTGTGAGGTTCAAATAGAAAGTCGTGGGTTGCGAGATATGAATCCTTGCAGCCAATCCTTTCCTGCCATTTTTGATTCATTATTAAAAGGATATTCAATTCCCATTTGTTTAGCAAAATCTTATGCTAGAAGATGTATATACTAGATGTATATATAATGTAGATGTAAATACAGGAGATTTTCCACCCAGAGATAAACCACCAACTACCTTTACTTTTCCATCTTGATGACGTTGTAATATTTTTTTGTTAATACTAAATTCTGATGCAATATTTTTCAGACTGCAGCCCATCTCCATAGCTTCTAACGCTGACTTTATCCTATCATTTGTTGCAACTCTCTGTGTTTTTCGCACATAATTTCTCACCATTATTTATAATGTTCAAATTCATTTTTGTTTAAATAAAAATGAAAATTTTAAAATTAAATTATATAAACATATAAACACATGCAAAGTATTATATAATTATTTAATATATTATTCTTTCAAACATTACCTAACATTCATAAATTAACTCTTTTAAAGTTAAATAAAAACTTACTTAAGTTATATGCATACAATTTTTGCACAAAGTTACCCAAGAATTATTAATTAATAATAATAGTATTATTATTTTTTATTCATTATTATTATTATTATTATTATTTACATTCAATTGCTGATCATTAATTTAATATAATACAACTTTATTTCCCCAAATGCAATGCAAATTTTAAAAATGTATTTATAATACATTTATATATACATTTATAAATAATTTATAAATGTTTTACAAGTATGGATTGAATTGCAGTAACTGCATGTAATACAACTTCACACTTCACTTTATTTAGCATACATATTATAACATTTTAAAAATATATAAAATTATTTTACAAAATTATATATATATATCGTCACATTAGAATTATATGGTTCTATCTGCCTTTTTTTATGTTGTGAGAACATAAGTTTCAATATTTATTTAATACATGTTTTACAGCTGTTATTCATTATGAATATAAATTATAAGTTGTTTATGTTATCTATATTTCATTATTTAATATATTTTATATTAAACAACTTAAAAAATGATATATAATATATCATTTTTAAGTGGTTTGTTTTTATTATTAATTATTAATTAAAACTTTGATTGTTAAATTCTTTCAACATAAAACAAGGCAGATAGAACCCTATAATTCTCATGTGACGATATGTATAATAGTTATCAACATATAAACCAACATGTAAACAAAGTCAATAACTAAATTAGTGAACCGTTATTATGTTCTAAACACACTTTTAAAATGGAAACTTGCCATTTTAAAAGTGTGTTGACAACTTGCCTCATACCATACCATTTTACAAGTTTCATACAAATAAAACTAATTTTGTTGCTCAATTAAAAACTTTCTTTTCTATATATTATTGTGGGACAAATTCTATATAAAAAAAACTATTTTCTTACCTTCATCTCATAAGTATTGCCAGTCAAATAAACATTTGATGTTAGAAGCAACTTACTAACAAAATACTCAAAAAAGTTAAAAATCTATTTAAACCTTAACTAATAACGATATTTAAACTATTTAAACTATTTTGTTCCGTGATATTGTTTTAACTATATTAATATTATAACAGAGAAATAAAACATTACTATTACATGATACCCTCACAAAAGCAAAAAGACTTCTTGCCCCGCGGGTCATCTTGCCCCACCCTACCCTACATATTTGTAGAGGCATATTTTTATCTAACTTTGCCATGGACTGAATATACGAGATACAATATGGTTTATACGAGAGGTCAATAATGAAATATTAAAAGGATATATTGTATTGGCTATGACTATGTAAAACAACAATGACGTTTATTTAAAGAAGCTATCAACCAAAATTTTAAATAGTTATTGAAATGTAATCAAATACACCTGGTTTACTTGCACCCTAAACCGGTAAACTTAAAGCCATTTAAGTTAAGGGGTAAAAAACGCCTACCTTGTTACCTTATAAAAAGGCAACAAAGTTTTATTAAAAGATGTCAGCGAATGATTTAAAAGTTTTGAAAATTATAAACTGCTTTTAATATTTTAAAAAAAAAAACAGTTTATGGAATACAATAAAAAGTTGACCTGTGTTATTAGTAACAATATTACCAATTAGAAATAGTTAATGTACTTACTTTGGTAAATTACTTGGGCTTCTGTGAATGGATAAATTCTGTGAATAGAGGGATTGTGAATTGTTAGGAAATGTGAATATTATTATGATAGCTTATTTTCATAAAAAGTTTATTAATATTTATGATAAAAAAAACTTTTTAAAAACTGCATATGCAGTAGTGTGGCATGATTTAGAATGAACATACATTTGAAGGATTTTTTGTATAAACTTCACTTGGTACCTCAATGGTAGTTTGTTTTTATTTTTATCTTCATTTATCTGTTGATTAGTAGAATAATATTTAATATTAATAATATTTATATATGTTAAAATGTGTATGTTATTCATGCAATATGATTTCAATAGTCAATTTTTTAATAGTTTAATGGCAGCATGTATTGTCATATATCCATTCTGCCATTGTCACAATGTAGTAAAGTTTAAAAGTTATTTGTATAATGATTTTTTAAACCAATTTATTATCGTGTTGTATATTTTATCGAATCTGCAGTGAAATAAATTTAATAAATAATCACAAAATATAGCTCAAAGACAACATGAAATTAAACAATAAATTTTGGTCCACGATAATTGAAATATGTTATGTTTGACTAATCATAAATATAACTATTATTTATATTAATATAAGTACTCTACACTTGTTTAGAATTGTAAATTGAAAAAAAAGTAACGGGATGCTATTTGGTTAACTAAGAACACCATCCCGCCTAATCATTGTTATATATAGAGATTTATAAAAAATATATAGAGAGAGATTTATAAAAAAGTGGCGGGATGGATTATACTTTATAAAAAGGTGGCGGGATGGCATCCCGCCTCACTTTGTGTGTGTGTGTGTGTATAATATATATATATATAATATATATATTTAGTGTCAGGTCAGGAGTATGGTCATGATCATCCTGCTACTGGTAACATGTAAACCAGTGCAACCTGTTCCATGTTCTGCTGCCTTGCAGGATTTGCTTTCTAAGCAAAGGCTGGAAAGAGTGTTCTTCCTGTCATCAGTACTATCTTATATCAGTCATGCCTATAGTAATTTTTTTTTTTGTTTTTTGTTGTTTTTTTTTCATATAGTTGGAGGTGCCTTAGTTACTGTATTAGCTCACCTGTAATCTACGTTATTTGTATGTTTGTGTTTTGTCTGAACCTCTGGCGCGGTGTTCGCTCACCCGTAAGTTACTTTATGTTCTTTATGTATGTTTGTGTTCTGTCTGAACCTCTGGCGCGGTGTTCGCTCACCCGTAAGTTACTTTATATTTATGTTTTTTATGTTTTTTTATGTATGTTTGAGTTCTGTCTAAACCTCTGGCGTGGTGTTCGCTCACCCGTAAGTTACTTTATGTTTTTTATGTATGTTTATGTTCTGTCTGAACCTCTGGCGCGGTGTTGACTCACCCGTAAGTTGATTTATGTTTATTTGTGTTCTGTTTATACTCTAATGCAGCGTGAGCTCAGTAACTAACTACTTACTCCAATTACAAAACCTACACTCACCTTAGACTCCTGTATTTTGTTAGATGCAGTGTATTTCCTAATGCACTTCCAAAATATAATGCCTGGTTCTCTCAAAGTACTGTTGCGGGGAGTAACTCCTTTTAACTACTCCAGGTCAGGTCAGGATAATCGAGATCAATCTTGCTACTGGTATCACGTAACTCAGTACCACCTGCCATAAGCCCTGCTGCCTTGTTGAGTGTGCTCTTCAAAGACAAAGGCTAAGAGAAATAAACTCCGACTAAAAATTCCCCTGCCTTGGGGTCTTAGTTAAGTAAAGGCAAGAGATGGTGTCTCGATAAAAACACTCATTTTGGGCAGATGTTAACTGCATCCAGCTAAACATCCCCTGCCTTGGGGCTCTTGGTTGAGTAAAGGCTAGAGATGGTGTCTCGATAAAAATACTCATCTTGGGCAGATGTCAACTGCATCCAGTTACTGTCTTGTAAAAGGCCTCCTAGGCAAAGACTTTAGGGGTAAGCAGAAAAGTTCTGCTAACCAGCCTCGAACCCCTTCTTCATCTATTAGGCTGGCGTAAATGTAACCTGTGTTACATTGTTTCCTGCCTAGGATGATGAATGCTGGATCTCTTTGACTCTACGCATAGAATTTTGCTTATGCCACCTTGATAATGCCTATGCAACTCTTCCTGTTATCTCCATATGAGGGTACAGCTCTAAAACTCAGTTTAATGGTTCTGAGGCCGGTTGGTAGTAAGGTTTCCCGAACTCTGTGGTAGCTCTCAGAGAGGCTGATTTCATCAACAGCTGCAAAATATCAGAGTATTAACAGTGCCATGTTGCGCATGGATGGTGTCTCTGTTAATGCTTTTGGTGTGCATTGTCAAGGCCACATAAGGAGCCCTATGTCACGGCTTAGGGTTAATTAACAGGACTGAGACAACTGCATAGCTCATTGATTAGGAGGCTGTGCTCTATCTATGAATGAATCAAGTTCTTATTAAACCCAAATCATGACCAAAGTAACCAAAAATTTAAAACCTAAAAAACCATCCCCACCACCTAAATATTTTAATTTATCTTTTAC